AGCTGCGCTAAGGTTACTTTAAGGTCACTTCATTGTTACGGTTCGAGTTACCCGACACGTGTGATTTCTGCAGGCCTGCACCGCGGAGATCAAACTCACCCAAGTCCGCTATGCAGCACTGTCCGTTCTTCTTCACGAGGATATTTTTGCTCTTCAAGTCCCGATGAGAAATGGCCGGCTTCCCCTGGGTGCCGAATATCTCTATGTGCAAATGCGCAAGACCACTAGCTATGGAGAGGACGATGCGTAGGCAGCTGACGGTGTCCAGGGTAGTGAGCTGCAGGTAGTCGTACAGAGACCCCATTTCATGGTAGTGGGTGATTAACCACAACTGGGTACTAGAGTTTCTGGAAGTCATATCAGATGCAATAAAACCTAGCAACAAAGGAAGAAAAAGAAACACAAAGTAAAATGACAGAGCTCCTTCAAGACTCCCCCAAGAAGAGAATCAATACTACTAGGCTCCTCTTGCAATTTAAAGCTCTGTTTAATCACAACTTTTCCACAATTGTGATGCACTGAAAACAGATTGCAGGTATTACTATGATGAAAAAAGGAGCTGACATATTCTGGAACTCTAACTCAAGTCTATTCACAAGAATGTATTTATGTATTTTGTCAGTCACACCAAACACAACTACGTGTTAGGACCACATACTTCAGAAAAAAAAAATATTTTTTTTTCCCCTGCTTTTTGAAGGACTTGGAGGTGGGGAAGTTTCCAGTTATACAAAAAGAGCACCAGCATACCTGCTGCTGTCCCCTCAACAGGGTGACACTGGAAAGAAGCAATACCTCAAAGAGACAAGTCATAAGTAATCATTTCTGGTTTTAAGGACAACAAGCAGCCAGCGCAGGCTGCTGAGAAAAGGGTTAAACGCGTTTCACATATGCATCACATCCCAACAGACAGACACTATACACTGTGCCAGCTTCACATTTACATCCAAGGTAAGTCTATTCAGAGCACTTCCATCAACCAACAAGTGAAAAGCTTGCTGTCCCCACAGGAAACACCCCACCCTTCAGACCAGGTGTAGATTGGAAAAAAAGCACATCTCACCACAGCAACAACTCGCTCTCCCATGATCTCAGACTGCTTAACAGGCTGCAGAGGGACTGCTGCAGCCTGACGCATTATCAGGCCTATGGGGCAGCTCCGAACTGCCGTAGGCTCCAAATGCCTGATCTTCTTAACTGTTCACCAGCTCACAACGGGCCGCAGGATACAAAAAGCGGCAGATGGCACAGGAGTGTGTGGCAGCACCAGAGGATTAGCATAGCCAAAAACCCAAACAATAGTAATGCTTCTACTTCAAATACTGGACAGTTCAACTGGTGTGCAACTTACTTCCCTGGTGAAGTAAGGCAGAGCACCTTTATAAATCATAGCTGTATTTCACAATGATTTTCCACAAAGGAACAGAAAAGAAAATTTCTCTTTGAAACTCATGAACCTCAAGAACTGCTTTCAAAAATGTGATGTCTTAAAACTGAATCCAAAATTCAGGAGTAGCTCCCTTCCTGTTACCTCTGAATTTATCGTGTATCAGCACACTGTTGACCTCAACAGCTTCAGCTGAGAAGCAACAAAAGTTTTATTCCTAAGTTAGAGGAACAAATCATGTTTATTAAAAGCCCACATATGACATTTGTCAGAAAGAACACCCACTACTTTCTCTCCTGAAGTCAGATTTCTGAACAACATGACACTTACGTAATCTGTGATATTGTTCAATATTGCATCTAAAAAAATTCTATAAAATAGCCAACAGATTTGACAGTTATCAAGAAAGACTAAACAGACAGAGGAACATGGGAAATGTGTAATGTAATTTCAGCTGAGTTACTTGCTCTCTAGGGAAGGAAGGTTCAATAATTCACATTTCAGGAGGCCACCGAATTACTTTTGTAGTAACAAAGGAACTGCTTCAGGAAACATTAGACAAATGTCTAGCAGGGTGAGCTATAGAGCCAAGGAATATTCTCTGACAGGAAACAAGGAGCCTAAGTAAGACTGACTGAAGACAGACAGACATATTGTGGGTGAGGTAATGTCAGCACTCAGAAAAAATGCTGCTGCTTTTATTTGTAAAGGTGGCACACCAGTGAAAGACGGTCATGTCTACTAGGAATTAAAAGGGCTGCTTAAACTTCAGCCATGGCTCACAACACAAAAAAAAAAGCCATCTTCTAACCTCTCAGAACTGAGCACACAAGGTACAAGGTACAATCATCATAATTTCATATTTACAGGGAAATGAGATACATCATAAAGGGGCAACTATAGTTAAGTTTAAACACCAAAGGAGATTATTTTGACCCTGAGCAGAACAGTTAAACAGAAGAAAATAATGGATTCGTACCGCACTTTATTCAGGCACAAGGAAAAAGTATTCAAATACTTAAATCTCATTATAAACTCCTCACCATTTTTTCCTCCCTTCACTTCTCCCAGGTAAACTGAAGTTATAAGAAAACACAGATCCACTGGAACCTCTCCACCTAACACACTGTGCAATACTCTTTTGCCATTTGGCTGCCCTGCAACAAGAGCTGCAAGGGTGAATTCTTAGCACACAGGTCTGTGGCACATCCATTCTCTTCTACACACTCTGCTGGCAACAATTGATTAATCTGGTTGACTGCTTGTTGCTAGAATATCGCAGGAGGACAATGATTCCTGGTCGCTACAACACTTTCTCCATTCGAGATTCAGATTTCAGCACCCTCCTGGCAAGTCTCCCCCTTAAAATTTCCCTTCAATTATTTATCGCAAACCTAAGAACCTAATCTCAAAAATTGCAAGGTATCTGGCAAATCTGCAGTGCTTTGCAAGTGAACCGTTCAGTTAACTCACCTTTACACCAGCTACACCTGGATACAGGAATACGGTTGTCCTACTTACCTAAAATATTTTCATGCCGCAGCAATACAGTGTTGTACAACTCCGTTTCCCTGAACCAGGATTTTTCATCCCTAGAAGAGAAGATCTTCACAGCAACATTTTCTCCTTGCCACTGACCCCTCCAAACTTCTCCATAACGACCCTTTCCTGGTGAGGTGGAAAACCACAGTAAAAGTTGTCAACTAACAGTCTTCGTAGGGCACGGCAGGATTAGCTAATAGGACAGAAACTCAACAGCCATGGCCCAAATATCACACTGATGTAGTTTGATCACCCCTGCATATACTTTTTACCACTTTACAGTCACGCTGTGCTCCACTGGCCCTTAATTTTTCCTGTTTGTTTCAGCTGCAAGAGCTGAGAGTGTGGATCTCTCCTCCTTGCACAGTGGTACAGAACACAGAGTGTATCATTCAACTACCAGCAATGAAAGCACTTTTGCAACTTAAGCAGCATGCTACAAGGTCAACGTACACAATACAAATAAATCTAGAAATTCTGAAGTTAGGGGACAGGAAGCATATATATAACGCTCAGTGTTCTTTAAAGGCATGTATGAATCAGCAGAAGTATAACCAAACGAAGAGAGATACCCAACACCGATGTCTCAATGCTGACACCCAGAAGAGATTTCCTGCACAACCGCTTTCATCTGGTTCTGCTCTACATGCTAAAATACATGGTCTCTGGAAATAGTGCCAGCCTGAGTTAACTTGGGAGCAGGCGTAATTCCTGAGACATACACACTTATTCACACCTATATACACGCACAAAAAGATGTCTCTCTCACAGGAAAAATCATCATGCATATCATATTCTATAGTTTCTGACAAAATTGCAGAGCATCAGAGGTGGTACACTTGGATTTAATGCAAGTGTGAACATTTGTGCCTACTCAATACATACTATAAGCCAAAAGCAAAGAAACACTGGTGAAGTGTAGGCCCAGTCCCTACAGATTCAGATTCATCTGTTTCAGTCGGGCTTGACTTGACACCCTGATGAGTTATAACTTCTGGTGACTTACAGGAAGGTGTTAACCTGTTCTGAGCTCAAATCACTGAAGCAGCAGCATAAAACATTTAAAACAGTCTTTTTTTTCCTACTAGAATCAATAATTATCATGCTTCCTCCCCTCTTTAGTGCCAGTACAGCATCTCAGCTCAATGTCACTGCCTCAGGATATCTTTGACCCAAATGCTTCCTAAAATTACTAAATTCTAATTTAACATTATTCAATTAATAATATATATATGCTGAAGAAAAATTTAATGGATCCTTAAAATTAACACTAAAGTCCTGCAACAAACTAAAGACCCAGAAGAGTTTCAGGGAAGAACTACTAGAGACATTCTCTCTTTAGGAGAGAAAAGAGCAGCAACAGTTCATCATTGCCTGCACGGTCGGAAAGCAACAGTGCAGAGCAAGTAAGCTACACAACATTCGTGTTCCCATTCTAACGGCACAAAATCACAGGGTTTTAGTTTTGGGGTTTTGCCCCCCCTTTTTGTTAAATTCCACATTAGCCACATTGCTTGAGACTTCAGATCTCAAATCCAGATGATCCTTTTCTAACTCTAAAGCTTTCAGATTGAACACCATTTAATGAACAAATGTTTGTTTCACAGTTTGACAGTTTCAAACTTCAAGTTGAGCTTACTTTTCTAAAAACATAGTTTATTTAGCTTACAAAGTACTCAAACAAGCCTAGTTTTTATTTTCTAACACCGCCTTAGGGAACAAAGCTTAAACGTTTCGATCAAAGAAAGATGATATTGCCCCTTTCTTTTGCACAGATCTGAAAGGAGTTTTTTCACTTCACTTTCCAAAACCAAGTATGTTCCATCAGCTGAAGCCTGAAAAGTTTCATATATTATATAAGCAACTGAGGAACAACAGTCGATTAGGATGGGAGATGCAGCTTTCTCTCTGCATTTGTTAGCAAGACTTGGCACCAGACATGAACAAGAATTATACTAACCTACGCACTCTACAAGTGTGATCTGGCGAGCCACCGTTCTTTGCACCAAGAAAGGAAGTCCAGAACCACTTCCAGATGTGCAGGAATGGTCCAATAAATCCTGTTCAAAAGGAAAAGCAGAAGTTCACCGCCTGTGAGAAACTACGTTTTTTCCCCCCCCCATTTAAATACACAAAAGTACACCACTTCACAGGATAGGTTAAGTTAAAGCTCACTGGTATCTCAACGGCTCTGGTGATGCCATTTGGTCACTCAGGGTCAAGACGTACCGTTACCATCACCATACAGATGGACAGAGAATGCTTTTCACAAGATTTTAGCACTTCAGAGAACATCCCATGCAGAGAAGAGTCTGGTAGGGGAGCTACAACTTAGGCATAATCACTTTCTGTCCGAAGTTTTACAAACACAACAAGAAACAGCAAACAAATCAAGCATTGTTTCAGTCTCAGTTTTCTTATTCTGTCTCTGTCTTATATTTGGCATTACAGTATCATTTTGTTTAATAAATAAATCATTTTGTTTAATAAATAAATGACAATAAATTTACTGCCTGTGAACCTGGAAGTTCACTCACAGCCCACCAGCGATCCTCTGTAGTGAAATTCCACCCCTTTTCAGCGCTTCGTTGTTCTCTTGCTTAGCTTATGCTCTCTCAGTTCTGTATCTGTCACCTATTTCAATAGGTTAATATCAACTGCCCCCTCCGAAGTTTTCCATGTCTTGCAATAATCTGAGCCACCTCGAAAAGAAATAAGCTTACTTTCTCTGACTTCTATACTTAAAAGGTTCATCCCTATACAGTTAGCAGAAAGAAAACCAGCATTTACTTCTGAACATTCGCACAGACTTTTCCCATTCTTCCCGTCACCTGTGGTTTCTTCCTAGTAAAGATGACCAGGAGGGCACAGTAACACAAATGTGCTTTCAGTAATCAGAGCTCAGGTCATGACGCAGCCCCACCGACCTGTGGGGTCAGATACTCTCAAAAATCTATTTTACAAATCCCTCTGAATAAACATGTGTTACAAAGAGACATTCAGAACTTTGAACTTTTTTGGCTACTATAAACAGACTCTAGGAACAGCCACAGCTGAAAGTTTCTAACTGAAGTGGCAAGACAGATAAAACCAACATATTCCTGTGACATAACTTGCTTTTTCAGCACCTTTTTAACCCATGGCCTGCACACAATTTGTGCTGAGCTGACCGTTTTGTCCGAAGTAATATGGGGAGTTTTGCTGAAAAACCCTACAGACGGGTGTGTGGTTTGGGTCCCTGCGAGAAGAGCCGAGCAGAGAGGTGACAGCCCGTCGCGTCCTGGGGCTCACAGCCAGGGATGCCTCGGGGGCCCCCGGAACGGAGAGGCCCCCA